CTTGGCAAGGGATGGAAGGCCTTGGCAGAAATAGTTCCCCCTTAGAACGGAGTGTGCTCTGAGCTCAGCCACAGCCTGAGGTTTGGTTTGCTGTGCAGCCACTCAGCTTTGCTCAGAACAATGTACATCAACAGGAAAAAATATACAGAACTGGGTCTTGATTCCTCCTTTCCACTCCACAGCTATTTGTTGTTCAGTAGGAAAATGGGAGAAGTAGTGAAACCCAAAATCCTCTCCAGTGTCATGAACAATGTGACTTTTCCTCAGCAAAAAAGAAAGGGTGGCACAGATCCCCACCTCAAGCACTGTGTCCAGTTTTGGGACCCTCACTACAAGGAAGACATAGAGGCCCTGGAGCGTGTCCAGAGAAGGGCAAGGAAACTGATGAGGGGTCTGGAGCACAAGTCCTCTAAGGAGCAGCTGATGCAGCTGAGATCATTTAGTGTGGAGAAGGGGAGGCTCAGGGGTGACCTTAGTGCTCTCTACAACTACATGAAGGGAGGTTGTAGTGAGGTGGGGTCGGCCTCTTCTCCCATGTAACAGCGACAGAACGAGAGGGAATGGCCTCAAGCTGAATGGGAAATATTGGTGGAAGGTGCACAGTTGGACTGGATGGTCTTGGAGGTCTTTTCCAACCTTGGTGATTCTGTGATTCTATATACATGGGCAACTTCCAACCAGTATATCCCCACAGCTCAAACCAGTTTCTCCAGCACTACTAAGCCAGATTGCCCCTTGGAGGCTTATCCAAGAAGAGCGTAGTTACAAATCTTGTCACATTTGACTGTTGTATTAATAGTGATGGAGATCTGACCATGTCCACAGCCATGCTCTTCTACTGTCACAGCCTCTCGCCATCAGCGTGTGGCTGTGCTCTCCAGGTTCTTGAGGAAGCTACAGCATCGAATTGGTGAAGATAAACATGGCAAGCTCATGTCCCCCATACCTATCTGACAAGGACTCTGCTTGGAGTTTCAGTGTGAAGCACATTAGTCCAGGATTCTCTCCATCTGGGGCCATTTCTGAGAAGCCCACTCATGTGCAGAGGGAAAAGAGAATCATTGATGACATCCATCAGATGTCTCTGCGGTGGTGCTGGCCACATTTCCAAGCGCTGCATCATGGAGTCTCTCGTGCATTTCCCCTCAGCCATCAGAGACTTCTATAGGGAAACTGTGGGCCAGTTGCAAAATTCTACATTGAGAAGGATAAAACCGTGTCTGCTTTCCTTTCTGGCCTTCGGTTTTCTTCTGAAAAGGACCACAAGGGAGCCAGTAGGCATCTGTAGCAGGCACACAAATCTCAGAGCAGCATTCAGGTGGTCCTGTTTCTTCCAACACATAACTCACTGCAACGCTGTACCCGTGGACCCGTGCTACTTTATGCAACAATCCAAATGGTGGCAATGGCACTGCTGTGCTGCCACACGTCCAGGCAGTAATGGGCAATGCAAAATCCAAAAAGCAATTGACTTGCTTAAATTCTGCTAAGGCACCATGTCGATCCAGAGCAAGCTGTACTGATATTAATGAGTGGACAAGGAAAGGCAATATTTTGACAAGTCAGCCACCTTCCCTACGTAACAGCCACAGGACAAAAGATAATGGCTTTAGGTTGTGCCAGAGGAGGTTCAGGTTGGATATTAGGATAAACAACATCTCAGAAAGAGTGGTGAGGTGTTGGAACAGGCTGCCCAGGGATGTGGTGGAGTCAGCATCCTGGAGCTTAACAAGAGGAGGGCAGATGTGGCACTGAGTGACACGGTTTAGTGGTACGGTAGTAATAGGATGACGGTTGGACTAGATAATCTTAAAGGTCTTTTCCAACCTTAATGAGTGTGATTCTGCAACACCAGAATCTCAGATCACCTTATTAAAACTTCACTGCGATTGAGACCTCAATAATGACTACGAGCAGAGGGATTTCTGGGCCAGCCTAAGATGATTCATTGCATGTGATGCCTCGAGAAGCTTGGGAGAGTTCATGCAGCATGAGGGGAAATTCGTATTCCCCACTGCACCACGAGTGTATGCTGCACATCCCGGCAGCACAGCAGCTGAGACAATCTTTATTTGTGCAGCCCCTGGGGTGCTGGCAACAGCAGCAGGCAAGGAGTTAAGTGGTGGCACCAAGCAATCTGGAAGGGAACACATGCCTTATTAACTGGCTGGAATGTCTGGAGGATGTGAGCAGCACCGTGGACATGGGAAAGGCAATGAACACCATATCAGTGAGATTGCCAGGGAACAGTGAGCACAGGTCTGCAGGAGAGGTCAATGGAGCAAATGATAGCAAGAGCTGAAAATGGCCCTGAGAAGCCAAATGGCAATGCAGAGAGAGCAGCAGAGCAGTGGTGATCCAACTGGGACAACTTACCTTTTAAGACTCTTGTGGGATGAAGAATACGGGTTTGATCCCATTCTGCAGTGAATCCAGCTCCTCTGTGCTCCAGCTGTGTGGTGTTACTCCGCAGGTTTATAGAGTTAAACGCAAGCCACCAACTCCTGCCCTGTTCAGCTTGATTGTGTGTTTTTTTTTTTCCCCAGAACTATTCAATAGTTTTGGATCAAATCCAAGAATAGTTACAGAATGACTTAAAGTATTTTATTTAAGGCAGCTCAAAGGATTGTGTTTTTCTTTTTCTTCAATCAAAGCCTTATTAGAAATGCATGGCCCTGAGACCAAAGGAGCTGCAAGTGCACAGCAGGATGCATGCACTGTGAAGATGGTGAGCTGTGCTACACACTGACACCCACGGAAGACTGAGCTGAAAGCGGTGTGCACAGCCTGCTGCTTTGCCTCGCAAGCTTCAGCTGGAAGATTTACGGCAGTGCTCACAGTGCCCAGGGTACATCCTTCATCAGTCTGCATCATGCATTGCTCGTGATTTACAGTTGAATCCCTTGGTTGTACCTGAAGTACACTCAGGCTTACTGCACTTGCTCTTTCCTCTGGACAAAAGAATTTATTTGGAAAAGTTGCATACATAAATCTATTCATTTATATCATTTTTAAAACCAGTTTTGCAATCTCTCTCTCAGGACACAGCACTCCAAATCCAAACCTCTACCATTCCTCAATCACCAAAGTTGAAGGAATGCATTTGTTACAGCGGAAAAGACACAGCCAACAAAACTGATCTCCCTGGCCTCATCCTGTCACTTTGCTCTTCTCAGCACAACACAACACATTGGAAATTCCAGCTAAATCACAGCACCTGGTGACTCACCCAGGGTTGAGGACTTGCCTCCTGCTTTATTTCTAAATATCAGCTGTGAAATTACATCCCATGTCAATACCGAATCATTCCATATGAAACTGCACAGGCTCAGGAACAGGAATCACTCTGCAGAAGCCAGCCCCGCTCTCCAATCCTTCGTAATCCTGTGGGCAGGTCCACCCACCTCCATCTCCCCACGAGGCTGTGGAAAAGCTCTGGGAGCTCAGAGCTTTTGGTCACTGACACTGTTCTGCAAACTTAAGATACAAGTATGAGGAGCACATCCCAAAGCCGTGTGGGCTAAAGCAGTCTTACGCAGACCTGGAAAACATCAAGTCTTATTACTCATCCAATCACAGAATTACAGAATCACAGAGTCACCAAGGCTGCAAAAGACTCACAGGATCACCCAGTCCAACCATCCACCCACCACCAATAGATCTCACTAATCCTTGTCCCTCAACACAAAAACACAAAATCCAAACATTCCTTGATCACCTCCAGGTTTGGTGACTCCACACCTCCCTGTGCAGCCCATTGCACTGCCTGACCACTCTTTCAGATAAGCAGTATTTCCTAACATCCAGCCTAAACCTCCCCTGGCGCAGCTTGAAGCCATTCCCTCTAGTTCTATCACTGTTACATGAGAGAAAAGGCCGACCCCCAGCTCACCACAACCTCCCTTCAGGAAGTTACGGACAGCAGTGAGGTCTCCCCTGAGCCTCCTCTTCTCCACACTAACAATCCAGCTCCCTCAGCTGCTCCTCATAAGGCCCCATTGTGCTCCACACCCCTCACCAGCTTTGTTGCCCTCCTTTGAACACAATCGAGGGCCTCAATGTCTTTCTTGCAGTGAGGGTCCAAAACTGGACACAGCACTCGAGGGTGCAGCCTCACCAGAGCTGAGTACAATAGGGACAATCACTGCCCTGTTCCTTCCTGATGCCAGCACTGTTTCTGATGCAAGCCAGGCTGCCATTGGCCTTCTTGGCCACCTGGGCACACTGTCGGCTCATATTCAGCCGAGCATCAATCAATACCCCCAGGTCCATTTCCTCTATGCAGTCCTCCAGCCACACCGCCCCAAGCCTGCAGCGTCGCCTGGGGTTGTTGTGGCCGAAGTGCAGGACCCGGCATTTGGCCTTGTTGAAACTCATCCCATTGGCTTCAGCCCAGCTCTCCAACCTGCCCAGATCCCTCTGTAGGGCCTCGCTACCCCAAGGCAGATCCACACTTCCAGCCAACTTGGTGCCATCCACAAACTTGCTGAGGGTGCACTCGATGCCCTCATCCAGGTCGTCAGTAAGGATATTGAAGAGGACAGGCCCAGCACCGACCCCTGGGGCACACCGCTCACAACTGGTCGCCAGCTGGATTCAGCTCCATTCACCATCACTCTCTGGGCCCGGTGGAATGTGTCAGCAACCCACTGAAAATTCCACAGGACAACTGAAAGAGCACTTCCACCTTTTTTTTTTCTTCTCATCTATTACTTTGTTTCATTAACATTTGCTTCTGGCTCAGGTATGATTTGGGAATGGTGTACAGGCTGAAAGCATCATGAAATCACTGGTACTCTTTCCCTTAGTGCAGGTAGGCTTTGGGATGGCTGCTGGGAAGCAATGCATCGCTCAGCTGCTCCTGTTTGTGTGCACTGCAGAAGCAGGCTGATGGGCTGAGGCCAAATAAAAGTGCCTCCAGGTTCCAGGTGTGTTACTCTTCCAAACCATTTTCCTTGAGCAACAAAAGCATCAAAAGTGAGGATGCAAATTCAAATGTATTGAAGCAAACTAGAATTTATTTAGCATTTATTACCCATTCTGTTGTTATATGTGGCTTCTTTTGTCTCAATTTTCTTCTAGTAAACATAGACCTTTTCCTTTTTCATTTTTATTAATAAAATATATAAAACATTGTGCATTGCTATCCATAGGAAAACCTCAGTTTAACAACAAAAAAAGAGTAAGGCACACTCCTGTGCAGCATCTTCATATATATATATATATATTTAAAACAAAACAAAACGAAAAGCCTTTTCAACCTCTTTGAGGTTGTTAACATCTCACCAATCACTGACACATCTCCTATATTACCATAATTTCACTGTTGGAGGTGAGTTGGGTTGTATTTGACAGGGACCAGCAGGGAGAACAGACTCAAAAAAAAAAAAAAAAAAAAAAAAAGGATTTTAACCCTGAGGTGTTGGTTAAAAAAACAATGTTCCCATTGAAAAGGAGTATGAAAGAAAGACAGCCATAAATAACTGAATACACTATGGCAAACATCCAAGCACCGAGATGATTTCATGATGGAAGAACACTCCCCTCACCCCCCAGTTCTTCACAACTCATATTTGCCATTGGTTTTTAATGGGGTTTATCTCATGGCTTCTGAAGTCACTAGACAGTCAATCAGGATGTCCCTCCCTGCCCTCCCCAGTCATCTTTCCAGAGCTGTAGCTTTGTTCACAGTTCTCCCAGAGTCCACAGGAAAGGGAAGCCCAACATTCCGAAATGAAAACCAAAACCTGGATGCCTTTGCTCCCCACACAAGTGGCAACACTCGTACTACGGCGTGCCAAGCTCCGTGCTCCACACAGGGGACTCAAACTGTCAGCTCCGTGCCAGCCACTCAGAAACGAAGATGGTCGCCACCTCTGATGTGACCAGAAGGTGTCCGTGAAGGGGGTGACAGTCATACGTCAGGGAAAGGGAGACAGCGAAAGCTTTACTGCTGTCCATCGCACAGCACTCCCGGAAGGAAAAGAGGAAGCAGCCCCACGGCATTCCTCAGCACCTCCCTCCTGCCCGGCAAGGCTGGAGGAGCCCCGTGGCGCAGCGGGACGCCGGGCGCCCGGCTCTCAGTAGTAGCGGTTGAGGCTCCTGGTGCCGGGGATGTCGGGCTGGCCGTTCATCCAGATCTCGCGGATGATGCGCTCCCGCTCCTCCAGCCGCTGCGCCCTCTCCAGCTCCTCTGCCGAAGTGAAGACGTTCATGTTCAAAGTCCTCTCGAACCTGCGGTGCCTGCGGGCCGACACGTCCGACGTGCTGTCCGAGTCCCCATCGCTGTCGCTGCTGTCGCTGTCGCTCTCCCGGGGAGGTTTTTTGGTGGAGGAACGCTTGCAGTCTGTGCGGCAGGACACCCTCAGCACCAGGGCCAGCAGGGTCAGGACGAGTCCAATGCACACCCCGGAGACAAAATACAGAGCGGCGCGCTCGGGGTTTTCTGAAAGGGGAAAGGAAAGAGTGCTTGAGAACGACTCCTGAACAAACAAAACGCACGACTTGTTCCTCTGTGCAAACACCAGCAATGGTCTCCAGAGGGGCAGGGTTTCTAATGGTTCTGTTTGCTTCCAAGCCTTCCTTCATCTCCTTTCCCCGGGGAAGCCAGGGAGGAGATTTTATGTGGTAGATCTGCTGCCAAGGCAGTGACCCACATGCAGAATGCAGGTTAGCTGCAGTTGTGTCTTGGAGTTATCTGGAAGGATAAATTGAATTGAAATTGAACTGAAAAATGAATTAAGTGCTAATTCCAGTTTCTACAAGAATGGCGTTGAAACCTGAGAGCAGCGCAAGCAAAAGCAACCGAATGCATCTTTCTGTCATAGCCGTTATCACAGTGCAAAGAATAGAGTTTATTATAAAGCTTTACATTTGCTCTGTGCTGTAGCTCAGCTGAAATGGTGAGCCTTGCAGCATGGAAAAATGCATATTATTTATCTGTAAGTTTCTTCTGCTTATCCGAGGCGAGTGCGCTGGCTTTCTGCCCAGACCACCAAAAAGAATACCTGTGCTACAGGAGCACTGCTGGGGTTTGTGCCCTGACACGATGAGTCCTGCAGAGCTGCGTTTCGGGGTGATACAACAAGACTCCAAAGGATCCACAATGCCTTTTCAACTAGGTTATCTTTTTATTTACTACAGGGTGGTGTTTTTTGGTTCATGAAACTGCTAAGGGGTGTAATTGTGATAAATGTTGTTATTGCACTTGCCCTGGGCTAAATCACCTCAGCATATTTCATGTTTACAGACACCTTGAGTGGGTGAAGATGAACCAAGCAGAAGTGTCACAGCCAGCTCTGCTCTGCTGTGTCTGTTGGAAGTCCTGAGCACAAGGATGGAGTCAACTCCTCAGATGAGCCTAATCCCCTGAACTCAGAGATGAAGCTGACCTAGATCCCCCCAGCTGATAGACCAGTATTTGGTCCCTGGAAAAACTACAAGACTCGGCTCTACCTTCACCCCCCACACTATGCTTTTAGATCATTCTCCAAGTGATTTCCTTCAAATAAACTTTTATAGGAGAAAAGGAAAACAGCAGGAGCGGGGAGTTGGACCAGCTGACGTCTGGAGGCCCCACACAACCTAAATTATTCTGATTCTGTGTCCAGAACCCAGACACCAACTTGTGCATGGTTTAAGGCAATGCGTGGTTCAATGCCCCAAGATGCTCTTGGAACAGTTACGTGAACAAGAAGCATTTGTGTTCTGTGTTTCTCTCCTACCAAATGGATTTCAAAAGTAAATGACAAGCCATGGAAGAGGAAGGCGTCACGACAGTATGAAATATGGCTAATAAAACATGAGACTTGCTAGACTGGATAATGGGGAAGGCATGAGGAAAAAAGAGGCTGAAGACAGACTGCAAAAGAAGGAGGAAAGAACTGCAAAAGATGCATTTAGCAATGCAGAAGAGGAAAAAAATGCAGCAATAGTTGGAGAAAGAAGGGAGGCCAAAGCTAGAGACTTTAAGCTAAGGTATTTTGACAAGAGTGAGTCAACAAAAAAAACAGAAGGTAGAAGAGAAGAAAGGTATGAGAACAATCATGGAGAATGTGCTGATAGCTCTGCAGCAATGTGACTGACTGAAATCCTGGCCCCAGTGAAGTTAATGGAATCCTGAACTCAAGGGGCAGAACTTGAATAAAAACTGCAGCCCAGCTTATGCAATAGCAAAGCCATTGTCCATCTGCTACAGCATGCACAGTAAAGCAGTCTTCATTGCAGAGACATGACATCGCCAGGAAAAGTGTCATCATCCCCTTTTACCTCCATCTGGACCACTCAGGACAGCGAGCTGCCCTCGCAAGTAGGCACAAGGAGGACTGCAGAGACACGCAGACTGGGAAGCACAAATGAGCAGCACTGATCTGTTTGTCCTGGAAGCCAGTAAGTGCAGTGTGCCCCTGCTCTGCCTTTGGCTGACACGATGCCCAGCACTTTCCTGAGCACCACATTCCTGCACACACAGGGGCTTCGTTTGGTTGCATTAGTTCCACTGTTCACTCTTTTTAAAGCAACTCATAAGATAACATGGGTTTGAGCTTGAGAAGGACACATGTGGTTTCTCTCCTCCCATTTTTGTCCATGTCCTGCTTTTCATTTCTCCTCCCTACTCTTTTTTCCATGCTACTGTATCCTGCTCATGTGCAAGCAGCACCTCCATTGCTACTTAAGCAACTATTTTTCATCCCCTGCTCGTCCTCTTGTGTACAGCTCTCCATGCAGTGCAAAGGCTGTAATCGAATCTTTGGGCTTCGCTGGCATTTTCGAGCTTCTCCAGCTACTCTGTCAACATCTGAGACACTGTCTGGACTTCCTCATGAGCTGTAACCCTCCATTCAACTGCAGCCTCGGCATTTATCATGCATACAATCCACTTGTGCAGCAACATCTCTCTTTCTACAGCAGAAAGAGCAACTTAAGCTAAAAACCAGGGGCTGTTTTTTTCTCAGCTGAAGCAGCCAAATCAGCAACCCCCTGGATTTGGGGGATTGATCAGTTCGCCTCCTCCTTTGCACATCCTCTTTGCGAAGAACAAAAAGCAGCATCCTCTTCAGAAATGGATGCTCAGAACCTTCCAAAACTCAAGGGAGCTCACGTTCATCATGCCCACAGTAACACGTCTCAAAGTATTTCAAAAACTCTTTAAAAGCATATGGATATCAGTTAACAATAGTTTGATATGAATTCATGTGTATGTGTGCCCCACTACCCCTTTAGCACTCGGATTTTGATCAGTGGAGCTCTTTCTTCCACAGCTGTGGATGACAGCAAGGCTGTGTTTTCCTCCTACACTTCTGGAAGGACCCAGCTGCTGCCCATCTCTTTAGATGGGGTTGCCTTCCCTTCTGTGGTATTTCTCTGGACTAAAAGTGTTGATGAAAGTCACTGATTCAAGCCTGAATTTAATCACTGCAGACAAAAGACACACGCTCTTCGTAAACTCTCTACACAAAACCCACCACTTTCTATGCAGTCAAACTGCCCAGAAATTAGAAACACATTTTATTTTGTTTTTCCAACCAAACCAGCAGCAATTGTGGAGCCTGTTTCCTGAGGGCTACCAATCTGCTGGGAGCATCAGCCCAGACTGCCATTAATTCCCCAGGAAATGCCACAGGCCAAGGTTGTTACTGGTATTATAATAAATCGTTTCAATAAATACAAAGCAATCTAGGCATTAATGCTGCTGGCTTCCTGTGATGGCTTCATATATTCAGAAACCTCAGTGGGGAGGGATGTTTCAGAGCTCCCAATGAAAGGCTCAGCATTAAGCACAGTCACACAAACAGTAGCAATAACATCTTCTTGGGAGTTTACAGTCAGCCCCACAGGCTGCCGAAATCCCCTGGCCGGACAGAGGAAGCTCTCCAGCAGCCCCTTATTAAGAAAGCTCAGGCCAAGCAGCCTAAAAGTTGGAATGATCTCCCCTGGGTTGTTTTTTGGAAGCTCCTTGTTCATAACTTGGCACCAATGGTTTAGGGCTTACGGAAGAATGAAACAGGGATTTGTGGAGGTTTCCCTCTAACTACTTTATCCTGAATACAAAACTAGGGTAAGTCCTCTATCCGAAGGAAGGCACTGGAAGTGATCTGGTACAATTTAGACATTTAGTATTTATATAAACAGAAGGGATAGTTCTGGTCTTGCTGGAAGATCGTGACTGCAGAGGCAGGTCCAGCTGTCACTGAGAGCAGTGAAGTCTCAGATACTCAGACAGGTTTTGGATCAGGTCCGTGACAAATAACAGGACTGAGATTTACACACAGGGATTGCATCTAATTCTAATCCTAACTCTGTAACAAAAATTGGCTTTTAAATTAAGGGCATTCCTCAGCCTTTTGCAGGACCACACTCCACGTAAGACTCATTTGTCTGATCAGCTGATAAATCCACTCATCACAAGGCACTGCTGACTCCTTCCCTCTGTTTCTGAGGAAATGTTTTCGAGTTTAAAACACTTATTGTTTTAAGTGTTAAGGGTCACACTTAACAGGCTGTGATGCTCCTAAACACGGTGATAGCCGCAAACAGATTTGACGGTGAAAACCAACTCTCCTGCAGAGAGGCTTTGCTTCCTGCTGTGCTGTGATTTTTCACCCCTTGGTTGTCAACAGGAACATTTCCAACATTTACATGGCAACTGCAACCAAAAAGATTGTAGAAATGAGCCCAGAGGCTTTTGCTAATATTGGTGCTCATCCACTCCGTGTGCAGTAAGACTCTGCACGTGCCAACTGTGCAAACAACAGAGCCTGCAGCTCTTCATCTGCAGCTTCCCAACCAATCCTGTCATTTTGTGCAGAAGAAGCAAACGCCAGCGTGGATGTGGATTTTAGTGCTCTGCTCAGGATAAGAAACATTCCACTGCCAGGAGGCAGGAAAAGTAGCAGAGTGGAAGATCTTTTCAAGCGTGTACTTGATCCATGCAACACCAAGTGCCCCTAAGGTCCTTCTCTTGGAGGAGGTCTGAGGCTGTACACCATCCTCTGTCCCAAACAACAACAAAGAAGTGTACAACTCTTCCCTGTTTACAACTTGCCTTTACAAAATAATGTTTTGAGCCAACTCACCAGCACAGGCAAGTCCTGATCAGCAGTTTCATAGAATCATAGAATGGCACAGTTTCAGTTTCAGTTTGCAGAGTGTACCTGAGGGACATTTTAGAATCATGAAGCAGAGCACTTCTTGCATTGTTTCCCTCTGGCACAGAGGCTGGGGTCAGGGGTGGTGGAAGATGTATGAACCAAAACCTCCCTGGCCATCCCTGCCTCCCTTAAGCCACTGTAGTGACTTCTCTATGGGCACCAACAGCTGGTGTGGTGTAAGCCCTCTTCAAGGCTGCAAACTCAGGCAAACATGAAAATTTCCAAGTGATCTCAAAGTCTGCAACAAGAAGAGAAGTTGCTTTGCAGTGCCTTAGTTTTATCCCATTATATTTGTGCCCTGTCACACATCGTGTGTTTGAACTCATAACATAAAGCCTCCTCCCCATACTAACATACAGTAAAATAAACCAGGCCAAATCCATCCTCCTTGCTAAGAGCAAATGACAACATCTGTAGCAAGTAAAAAGAGTTTACAGCATCTGCTGTTTCAATCCACAGGACAGTCATCAATTATTTTTGTGACAAATACCAACCTGAACCTACATACCGCTGAGATTAAAACTCATCCAGCATTCACAGTTAAGTGCACTGGAGAACACGAGCAAGAAGCTCAGGAACTCATCACTGGAAGCCAAAGTGGTGAGGTCTGAGTTATACTATTTATCTGGCATTTAGTGAATCTGAACATATCACAGGGAGATCGCTTTATAAGAGGGTAAGCAAGTAAGTCCCACATCAACACGACGGCTAAGGCTGTCAATTTAGGGATGCGATGAGGAAGGCTAAGGCCCTCTTGGAATTATACCTTACAAAGAAGGTAAAGGGTAACAAGAAAGGGTTTTTGTAAGTATGTCAGCAGTAAAAGGAAGACCAGAGAAAATGCGAGTCCCCTGCTAAACAAAGTGGGTACGTTGGTAACAGAAGACACTGAAAAGGTAGAGATTCTGAAGGCCTTCTTTGCTTCAGTCTTCAGTGCTAAGATGGGCCCTCAAGAATTCCTGACCCTGGAGATGACAGAGAATCCGGGAGAAGGAGGATTTCCCATCACTTGAGGAGGATCTGGTCAGAGAATGTCTAGCCAAAATCAATGCACACGAAGCCATGGGCTCCGATGGGATGCACCCATGTGTGCTAGGAGAGCTGGCAGAGGTGACTCCTGAACTCCTATCATCTTTGAAAGGTCCTGGCAAACAAGAGAGGTGCCTGAAGACTGGAGGATAGCCGATGTCATTTCAGTCTTCAGAAAGGGCAAAAAGGAGTATGCAGGAAACTACAAGTCAGTCAGCCTCACCTCCATCCCTAAAAAGGTGATGGAACAGCTTGTTCTGGATATCCTCTCCGATCAACTGAAAGAGAAGAAGGTTATCAGGAGTAGTCAACATGGATTCACCAAGGGGAAATTGTGCTCGACCAACCTGGTAGCTTTCTATGATATCATCACTAGCAGAGTAGATGGGGGGAGAGCAGTGAGAGTTGTGTACCTTGAGTTCACCAAGGCATCTGACATCATCTCCCACAACATCCTTGTTATGAAACTTAGAAAGTGCAGGATAGATGAGTGCATGGTGAGGTGGATTGAGAACTGGCTGAGTGGCTGAGCTCAGAGTGTGGTTATCGGCAGTGCAGTCTGGTTGGAGGCTGTAACCAGTGGTGTTCCCCAGGCGTCAGTACTGGGTCCAGACTTATGCAACATCTTCATCAACAACCTGGATGAAGGGATAGAGTCCACCCTCAGCAAGTTTGCTCATGATACAACGCTAGGAGAAGTGGCTGACACACCTGTAGGCTGTGCTACCATTCAGCAAGACCTGGGCAGGCTGAGAGTTGGACAGAACTGGGTCAGGTTTAACAAGAGCAAGTGTAGAGTCATTCCTGGGGAGGAATGACTGCATTTATCAATAAGGGTTCAGGGATGACCTGCTGGAGAAGAGCTCTGCAGAGAAAGACCTGGGTATTCTGGTTGCTAACAGGTCGGCCATGAGCCAGCAGTGTGCCCTGCTGGCCAAGAAGGCCAATGGGATCCTGGGGTGCAGTAAAAGGAGCGTAGCCAGCAGGTTGAGGGAGGTGATCCTCCCCCTCTGCTGTGCCCTGGTGAGGCCACATTTAGAATACTGTGTCCAGTTCTGGGCTCCCCAGTTCAGAAAAGGCAGGGATCTCCTAGAAGGAGTCCAGTGGAGGGCCACAAAATGATGAAGGACTTGGAGCATCTTCTGTATGAGGAAAGGCTGAGTAACCTGGGGCTGTTCAGCCTGGGGAAAAGAAGACTGAGAGGAGATCTGATATATATTTATAAATATCTGAAGGAAGGTGGGAGGCAAATGGATGAGGCCAGGCTCTTCTCAGTGGTGCACAGCAATAGGACAAGGAGCAATGGCCTAAAACTTGAACACAGAAAGATCCATACAAACATGCAGAACTTCTTTACAGTAAGGGTGAGGGAGCACTGGAACAGGTTGCTCCGAGAGGCTGTGGAGTTTCCTTCTATGGAGATACTCAAGACCCGCTTGGTCACCTACCTGTGTGACCAACTGCAGGGAACCTGCTTTAGCAGGGTGGCTGGACTCGATGATCCCTTGAGTTCTCTTCCTATCCCTGCAATTCTGTGATCCTGTGATTTACTATTTGTTCTGGAGCAAAAGGCTCCTGCCAAGACTGACACCTTGGCAAAGGGATGAATCGAGGCCTTGTGCCCCATAAAATGACTGCAAGGTCAAAGAGCTGTGCTGTGGAAGCAGATGGAAGCAAAGTCAGCAGTCCTAAATCCTAGTACTACTGCCCCTACCGTAAATCCTAAAACTTTCTGCTACCCGTTACTTTGCAGATGGGGAAAATAATGCAAACAGCATTTTATTTTCTATTAGCATTGAGAATACAGGCATTTTTTTTCCACAGCAAAAATAGATGTAGGTAAGAGAGGGAAGAAGTATGATAGACAGAAGATACATTTAATGTTTCCTTTCCCTAATCTTTCCTTAGAAAGTCCAAACAACAAAAATATATCCCACTCAGTCATCTTTTGTGAAGAACATCACTACTTGCATTTAGGCTGCCAGCTTCTTTAAAGTGTCACCAACAGCCAATTTCAATGACACCATTCAATGTGTAGAAAAGCAGAACTTTGCATTCAATATTCATGTCCTCTTAGAAGGATCCTTCACTTAACATGAAGAAAAACTCTTATTAAGCTACTTAGTGATTCCAAAATGAAAAGCCCAAGTTAGTTACTTCAAATCCAAATACTTGTCTGTAGCAGCACGGCGGTATCTCAGCAAGAGCAGGGCACCAAGAATGCATTTCTGTTTATTGAATCAGTAAGGTTGAATGTCACAAAGACGTGGAATAACTACTGCTCCCGAATGCAGTTTTAGTTACACAGATCCCAGCTTAACTGCATTAGGGTGGTGTGAGCAGAGCGGCTATAGAGCACAGAATCATTCACAGCATGTACTAAAGGAGCAGCACATTAGCATTACCAACAAGGTGCATACGAACATTTCATTAAAATGGAGAACATTCTGCAGTCTCATAAAAAAAACTGGCTGTAAACAGCATGTCACAGCAGGCCAGTGAAAAAACAGGGCCCTCATTCTGCAGAAAGCAGCAGAGATTGTCCTAAAATACGTAGAGCCAGTGCTACCTGCTTGGGGGGTGGATCCTCCAGCTCTGCAGTCAATTCTTAGTTTTGACAAGGCACCTCACAAGATGGAAAATATTTGCACTACCTTGTCTGCCTCTACTGGACTTCTTACTCTCAATGACACTGAGTCCAAGCACTGAACACAGCACACAGTCTCTATTTCAAGAGTAATTTCTTAATGCAAATCTTAAAAGGAAGACTATTCCTCTGCTACTTGAAAGATACATGTGGGTGAAGGATAAACTGTGATCCAAGGAAATTTCGCTCTAAACTACATTTAAATATATAATTAAGCAGACTCTCAAGCTACTTCATCTTCACATTCCTACTGAAGATAAGCCAAATTCTCTTAAGCAGGGTAATGATCTCTTATTTTCCAAATTACGGGACAACAAGCTTGCCTTCCTTACGTGCCAGGCTTTGATCTTCAGGAAAAACACAGCATTAGAAATAAGACCACATTTAAGATCACATTGTATTTAACTTCAGATGAGAGCAAATCCAGGGGAAAGCAGAGCACCATAAACCCTGTTGCGTGTTGCCTGGCAGAGCTGCCCGGGTCAGGCCTTTCAAGGCAGAATTTGCTGAGAGACAAATGAAAATTACCAACAGTTCAAAGGAATGGATTTAGCCGTAAATGACCGAGGTGCAGGGCTCAGTGCAGAGTCCACAAGCAGCCCGTGGGAGCGCAGAGAGGTGGCAGCCCCCAGACCTACCTGTGATGAAGGCGTACGCTGCTAGGATGTTGCTGAGCAGTGCCATCTCTGTGCTGACACCCACGGGCTCCATGCTGCTGGCGAACGCTGGTGGCTGTGTCTCATCCACAGGAAGCAGGAAGGAGGTGTTGTCTAGAGGGTAGAAGGTGGCCGACCTCCCTTTCTTCTTCTCTGCTTCGAAACAGAAAGGGAGTGAAGAACCAGGCACGTGCACCAGCCCTGTCCTGCCCCACCTATCCTCATCTGTGTTCAGAGATCTGGAGCTGCTCAGCACCAAGCCACCCACATTCGCTCCCCTTTTTGGGGCAACAAAACCTTTGCAGTTAGCTTCGGTTGAGCCCATGCCCTGTCTGCACCCAAACAGCATCTTCTCTCTACTGTCTCCTGCTCTTTCATGTCACCGCCTAGACACACCCACCCATGTTACAGCAAATATAGAATCAGGTTTCTTTTATCTTACGTAAATCAACAAAGCCTTTATCAGCTAAGCTTGTTATAAGTCTGCACATGGGCACGGAAAACACAGCCAGAGCTGGCAACCCTGTGCTGGAGTCGCGCTGCAGTGATCCACCCGCACCTGGCAGACAACACTTTCTCCCCAGCCTTTGCAGAGAAGGGCGAATCTGAGTTTATGACTGCCTTCAGGAGCTCACTTGCATTGTGTTTCACCCAGACATCATTTCCCTTTGGAGAGGTGAGCAAGCGTGAGTTAATGATTTGATTTTATTTGTAGAAGACCAGAGCTGAGGAGGCACATAATTCCAGGAGGCTCAAAGAGACCCTTTCAGACCTTATCAGCTCGCTGCCAAGTACTTCTTGCACCTTGATCTGCTGGCAGACACTCTCACTGGTCACAAAACACTAATTGTTCTGAACACATGAAAACCACTGCACAGGATCCAGCTCCATCATCCATGTGATTGTTTAAGGGTAGCTGTTGCAACTTCTCAGGCTCCTTTTCCTGGGTGTCTGGCTCCAAGCAGCACACTGTAGAATCACAGACTTGCCTCTGGCTTCCACTTGTCTGCAAGTACTAAATTCAGGAAACTGTCGGATCCACCTCCTACAATGCCACCAGTGCCATGCAAACAAAGGGCACAACCAGAGATCATCTGTGCTCACCCAGTCTGTGCCCATTCCCTACTAACCCAGCAAAGCAAGACGAGACATTCAACCTCCTGCTATGTGTGCTGGGAAGCAGCACAGCCCAGAGGAGCAGCAACAGAACGAGGGCTGTCAGAGAACAGGTAATACTGGATGGAGAGGGACTGAGTGCATGAGTGTGTGTGCAGCAATGCCAAGCCCTAATGTGCCTCAGAGGAGAAGTACCAGAGATGGATGTCCGGGTGTTGCTGTGAGGGTTCAGCCCCAAGGAACATGGGTGCAGTTGTATCTGCCACTGGAAGACTGCATGGCCTTGAGAAAATCACACCTACCGAGCTACCAAGGTGTAAATGACTGCCCCAGAGAAGGGTTTTCAAACATGGATTTCTGGGTGCAGATGCAAAAGAGAAAAACATCCCCAGAAGCCCTTCCTTTGGGAGAATAGAGATTGCTACAACTAGGTGTATAGAGGCACAGAAGGGCAAAGGCACAGCCAGCAGGAAATTAACAGCAAATCTTTGGAAAATATTTTAATTCAAATGTAGGCCCCAGAAATGCTAACGTGCCCTCTAATCTTTCTTTTTATTCTCCTTGCCCAGTAAACCCATGTCTGTAAAAGCGGTTGACTTTTTCTTTACCACACCACCACTCCCACCAAGAAACCCCCAGGAAGCAGAGTACATTTTTTATTCGTTCAAACTGAACCCCTGCCCTCCTGAAGATGCCCTGGGTACTTCAAAGTACCTCATGTAGCACTAGGTATCTAAACCATGGCAAGCAAATCCTGCTGTTAGCTGACAGATCTTAATGGAGTGACTCAGCTCTCCCCACATAGCAGGAACTTAAAAGCTCAATGTATTCGTTCACATGGACGTTTAAGCCATCTCAGGGTCAGCAGGACATCCACACAGATGGCAGATATGAGAAGGGATGTGGGGAAAATTCTCACTCTTTTAGAATAGCTTCTGCCACTACAAATGACACATTTGTGTAAAAGCAACAGAACCCTGCCCCTGGATGTATGCACACAGAGCTCTGGTTCTAAAATAGTTAATCTAAAATCTCTTTACAACTAACAACAAAGGAAGAGCACTGCCAGCACATAATCTCATAAACATACTTCTCATCCTGAAGAGAACCACTGAGTTATGTGCTACAGGTTTCTGATAGGTCTTTACGAGGTTTCTGTGATATGAACCTGGCACCTCTTTATCACAGTCTCACGTGTCCAGCTCTAAATTAGTGACAACATAGCTACTGCCCCTCACTGCCAATGCAGTCACAGCATCTCACTAGGAATGAGATTTAAACTGTGCTTGCCACGGGGGCTTCCCTGTTTGCATGTGCTACACCAGTCAGGAAAGGCTCAGATGAAAACACTTCTGTGGGGATTTGGACACCCCCTGGAAAATAAGCTGTGCAAAATGGCGTCTTTTAGGAGAGAGTAAGGCACAACTCCTCTTACATGAGATGTAAAGAGTCTTGTTTTTTTTTCTTCTGACTTGTCCAAAGAACAGATGCGATCAAACAAGTTTTTCAATGAACATTCATCTGCATACACTGCACACCAGCAAAGAGCATCACAGAACTACACAACTAGTTTTGTCATCTACAGGATTGTACAAGAACAGACAGGAAAGACAGAAAATGGCTGGGGTTATGCAGGAGGGAAAAACAACCAAACATCATAAGGGTCACGTGCTGGTTTGCTACGCCGTTCCCTTGTCTGCCTTTTATCCCAGGATCACATTTCAATACAACCCCTTTCTGCTTGCTAGCTCTGAAGACCTCACTTGCCCTAGCAGCCCACCTGCTGCTGGTTACCCCTTCACCACGTCCACCTTTTCTTAGTTGTTCTGACTCACTCAGGCTGTTTTCCTTGCGACTTTACACCAAATTAGAGCAAAAGTATTTCAGCTAGCAGAAAGTTTGCCCAGTAACCTAGGAGAAACTATTCAAGATACTGGGCTGACTTTAGCAAACAGTTTTCATAAAAGAAATAAAACAGGAAGGGAGATTACAGAAATGTCCAAATATTTCCTTTTGCGATTTCTGAAACAATATTTCAGCTGTTAATTTCAAACTGACATCCTTGTTTGAAAAGCACTGCATTTTTTTTTAAATGAATGAATAAACGATATGAAAACTGAAGAGGTGTCATTTGTAGAAGTGAAATGTTTACAGGAATGAAAATAAGCTCTGTGTTTTTCTTCTCGTTTGAAAAAACCACTAAGATGACAGATTTTATTTCAGGCCAATCCAAAGTTCGTTTTCTTGACAATTTTTTTTCCAGTAAGGTCTCCACTGTCTGAAGTGACATCGCTGACGTGTAACCGCCTGCAGGCTGTGAGGTAACTTTGCCTACAGACAGACAGAAGGCAGCTCTGTGCACAGCAACCCCCCACTGCATTTCAGGCAGCGCAGGGTAGGAAATTCCAGCAGTCCTGTCATCACCACCCCCTGCGTGTTGGGAAACACAATGCAAAAACATTGCCTAACCCAGTAAGTGCTCACTTGCCATTTTCCTTTATTCATAATCAATCCCTTCCTCCTACTCACCTACCGCTCGATAGCAAAGACCTGACTTCATTCATCTCCCTCCACTTTGCATTCTTACGAAAATGGCATCACATTTCAAAGCTCAGCTGAAAACCTCTGTCCCCAGTGAAGCAACCTCCTGCCTGTTTGCCCTGCTTTGGATTTGGGACTGCATTGGATGGGTCTTCAAAGTACTTCTGTGACGAATTTTGACACGCATGGCCATGACTGCTATTTCAAGAAATTCAGTGTGAGTTTAACAGTTCACTGTGGTCAGCCATTGTTAATGCCTCAGAACCTCTCATTCTGCCCGTGACATGGACAGGTACAAAACAGAAACCCGGATAAAGTATAAGTTTCCATAAGGGGAAGAGTTATCAGACCACAGTAAGGTCTGAGCCAGTCATACAATAGTCATAGCTACCTGGGAGGGCACGTCCTACACTGGGAGGAGAGACATCAGAAAGGAACACGCCGTCTCCTATAGCATCAGCATCAAACAGCCTTGGTCGCAGTGGAAAATGTGGCTTCTGAAATCTTTGGTAATTGATTGGCCTTGGCTGGGTTTCATGCAGAAGCTTCCTGGGAACTGAAAGAGAAGAGTAAGAAGAGCACAACTGTTAGAGTTACTTCAGCTGATCAGAATGAGAATTATCGCATCATGCTGTGGGTTCAGCTGATACCTAATTACAAACAGGCACTCATTTACCGCTGTGATGAATGCACTCCAAATGCCTGCACAGAGATACACAAGGAGAAAAGGCCAGGAACTACAAAGTGCTCAACATATTGTTTACTTCACTGCAACAGGCTGCCAGGGAGGTGGTGGAGTCTCCTTCCCTGGAGATGTTCAAGACCCACCTGCACACCTCCTTGTGCGACCTGCTGTAGGGAACTGCTTTGGCAGGGGGTTGCACTCGATGATCTCTGGAGGTCCCTTCCAACCCCTACAAGTCTGTGATTCTGTGATACTTATAATTAAGCTTTGAGACTAGACTGAGGGTCAGATTCAGACAGCTTATTTAGACACCCATCTAAGGCAATGAAATGACTGATAAGTTGCCCTTTGGTTCCAGCCCTGAGCTTCAGAGATCTGCAGCTGGTCGTACCATGGTGGCAGGCACAACAGGAAGCCCCTAGCAAAGGGGACTGTCAGTTATGCTTGAATCCCTGTCTCCCTTCAAGCATTGCTGACTTGAGACTGCATATCCATTTCTCGATACCCAGAACCCACCTCTGGAAGATGCTGTCCACAAAAAGCAACAACAAAAAAAACCAACTTAAATTATCCACCATAAAATAAGAAATCCTACCTGAAAGAAACCCTCTCCACCCTATGAGGTCTAAAATATTCCCATCTTTGGACTTCAAGCTTCAGCCACGCTGAGAAAGACCCCTTCTCTGTTCCTACCATCCTGAGAAAGAGGATGAGGGCTTGGCTAGTACCTTGTTTCATCTTCAGTGTAAGTAACAGACAGGTGAGAAAGGTTAACATGCCTACCAGAGCTGTGTCTGTGCATCACTTGTCCCTCTGGACCAATGTGTGCCTTAGTAAGAAAACTATCTTCCCCTCCTTGATGTTGCAAGGCCAGCTCTCTTTGGCTGTACCTCTAAGCAAAGCAATCAAAGCCAGTGCAGCTCCTTTAGTGTACACCCACAGAAGGTGAATCCACACAGTAAATTCACTGATTTGCCCTGTAGGGACACAGCAGCATATCATTTATGAAGCTGAACCAGTTCTGTGCCTCAGTCATGGCCAACACCTGAGGCTATTTCAGAGCAAAGTGCCTTTCTATACAAAGAGAAAACAAACAAACAAACAAACAATGCTTATATATGCTGTTCAGCTCAGAAATTAGAGGAACAGTGTGCTGAAGGACCAAGTAAATAAACTGAAATTTACAGGGGAGAAATACATTTTCCCCTCTGGTGACTGTACCCTAATACATACATCAAAGCACCACTTTGTTCCTGCAGACAGCCAGCACTTTACTATGTTAAAAATACAGACTACTGAGAAATGACACAAGATCATGAGACCCACAGAAATCCCACGGAAGAGCTGCTGCAATGTTTGGCCCTCCCTCCTTCAAGTCTGATGGTCACAGCTTCTGCTGCCCCAGGTTGGCCGCCATCTCCCATGCCTCGGTTTCCCCGCTGCTCCATTGCAGGCTGTGCTATCTCTCATCTTTGCTCTTTGCAGAGGCGTGATTAAGAGTAATTAAAAAACCAAAGCACTTTGAGATCCTTGGCACAAACTTGAAGGAAGATTTTGAAAGCGTGCAGCCCTGGAAGAGAAAGGAAATTCCTGACTGCCCCTTGCAGCTAATCAGCTGCCAAGCTGGAGTGTGAGATTTAATCACACCCAGTAAATCTGCCTGCATAAATACAAATATTCCTAGTGAGGGAAGCAATCCAACTGCCTTGTTTACATTGTGTTTTACTTGCTGTCTTTGCTGAGGCAAAGAGAATTGTTTCTATATTTGCAGACTGACCTCCTGTATCAGGCTGCCAAGATATCAGTGTTGAAGTTCCCATATTATTAGAAGAGTCACGATAAGTCAGGAAACAGACATGAAAACCTACAGCTTCTGAGCAGCAAAAGCCTGGCACAGCAATCTGCAGCGAAATGTGAATTAGCAACTGTCCTCTGATGGGAAGGCAGCAAAAGATGCACATCTCTGTTAGGAGCTAAACAAACTGTTCCAGTGTCTCACCATACTTACTTTTTCCCGATATCTAACCTGAATCTCCCCTCTTTGAGCTTGAAGGCATTTCCCTTTGTCCTGTCACCACAGACCCTGCTAAAGAGTCTGTCCCCTTCTGTCCTGTCGCTCCCCTTTAGATACTGACAGGCTGCTCTCAGCTCACCTCGCAGCCTTCCCTTCTCTTCTCCATCTGCACAGCCCCAGCCCTCAGCCTGTCCTCACAGGAGAGGTGTTCCATCCCTTGGATCATTTCTGTGGCCCTCCTCTAGACACATTCCAACAGCTCCATGTCTCTCCTGTACTGAGGACTCCACATCTGGATGCTCCAGGTGAGGTCTCACCAGCACAGAGCAGAGAGGAAGGATCACCTCCTTTGCCCTGCTGCCACGCTGCTCAGGATGCAGTCCAGGATATGGTTGGCTTTCTGGGCTGCAAGGGCACACTGCTGGCTCATATCCAGCTTCCCATCCACCAGCACCCTCAGATGTTTTTTCAGCAGGGCTGCACTCAATCCTTTCATCCCCCAGCTTGTATTGGTAGTGGATGCTGCCTTGTCCCAGGTGCAGACCTTGTATGTGGATTTGCTGAACCTCATGAGCTTCACCTGGGCTCGCTGCTCAACCCGTGAAGGTCCCTCTGGATGGCATCCCATCCCTCCAGTGTGTCAACTGCACAAGGCTAAGCATCCTTCAGATACTGCTGCATCTCAGGCTGAGGGCCTAAAAGGCATCTGGAGAACAAATCAGTATGGCCTTAAACACCTTCCATCCAAACTGCATCCCATAAAACCTGCTGATACGTGTCTGATGAAGATCATGAAGCAAAAGGAACACAGAAACGCAGTTTAATAGATTTGGGCTACTCTTTCGTATTCCAGATTGGCTCTTCTTCACAAAGATCTCCTTTCACCTCCCAGTCTTCATGGTCAACTCTGGGGCAGAACACAGGCTGGGTGGAGCTGTACCTTTCTTTGAACAGGTCATGCCACCCTTCAGCATTCAAAGAAATAGACAAAAAAGGTCTTTCCTAAGCACATCTAGGGAATTGAGCTTTCCCTCCCACCCTGGCACCTGTGCTAATGCCAATGTGAATGCTATCTGTGGTACCAGGAGAGAAGTCGTGATAAAACAAAGCATCACTAAATCACAGCAGCTGGTCAACAGCATCCCAGGGAAGAATGCAGAAGGAGAAATAATCAGAAGGAAATATTCAGAAAGATCATTAAGGCACCTTAGGGTGCATTTATTCATCTGGGATGGATAAGAAGGTCAGGTGAAGAAAGACTGATGCCAAATAGGCTTTTGGTGCCTGAAGATAGAAGTGGCTGTGTAAAGAGACTTCCAAAAGCAGGCAGGTATTTAACATTCATGATTAGCTTTGGTACTTTTAAAACTCCTAACTAGTTTCTGTCTTCAATTCAGCAACTAAATTCTGGATGCAGCTTAGTGAAAAGAAGGAAGAACCTACAATTTTTTCGTTTGCAAAGAGCTGTCCGCTCTTCTTTGTGGACTCCATAAACATCTTGAGGACGTTTCACCAGGACAGACCTACATTTGCAAAGAGTAAATAGTGTGAATGGCACATAGCAAGTCTTCTCTTATTCTAGAACATTTATACAACACTAAACCCATATATAGCTCAGATAGATTGATTTAGAAAGTAAAATGGAAAGGCTTTTTCAAGTGCAAAACACCTCACAATTTCCAACTAGCTTCTGTGCAGCAGCCAACTCCACAAGAAAGATTAAACATCTGGTTCCTTCAAAATACCTTCCTTAAATCCCCCAGAGAGCAAAACATCTGACACAAAGCACGGCATGAACTGCAGCAAGGTGTCAAAAAATGTTATTTATGATTAAACCCACCAGAAAAAAAATACCTAGGATTTTAGTCTCCTCTCAGCATTAAGCACAGAAATCCTGCAGGGAAGGGCTGGCACTTGGCCTGCTGCATGCAATCCAGCAGAGAGCTTAACACAATTTGGCCTGCAGAACCAGTGATGTATGCAAACAAAAGGCAAAGAAATAGGGTCATCAGTCAAAATGCTAACAGGTCTGATAGTCAGGAGCCCTGCACCTTAAGAAGTGGATGGGGACTGAGTTGGGATGAGTTGAAAGAGAGGCAGTACTTGGAGGACCTCTGGGACCTTCGTTCTCTCAGAGGGTAGCAGTCAGCACTGAGACGTGGGCATTCAATCAAATGGTTAAACTGTCAGGTAACGTGGGCCAAGCAGCTGATAAGGCTTTCAAATCTTTATGTAATCTCTCTGCTCTAAAAGCAGAGCCAGCTCCTTGCTCGCACTTCTCTCACTGGAAGACCGCTCATCTCTCTGAATCAGCACCGTGCTACCAATAATTCATTACATTTCCCAATCCAAGACCTCTATTATTATTCATGTGCAGTGAATTAATGGTACCAACCTCACAACACGTCCACACCATCACTGCGTGCCACCTTCCCCTTGCAAAAAATGAGGCAAGTGAAAATTAAAGCCACAGTGTGCTCTCTGTGGCAGAGTGGGCCTATCAGCCTTGAGTACAGGCAGCTGGCAGGACAGTGTGAAGAGATACATGCTGCTAACAGCATCCTTATTTGTAGGTGGTGGAGACTCTTTCTGCTGGGATTTTCCATACAAGCACTCCCTTGCGTGGCCAGAAGACAGACAGGTGACTAGAAGTTACTGCACCCACAGGCAGCAGAATTCCCAATGACTGTGCTAAGCCATGGAAAATGCCAGCCAACACCTCGCCTCTTTGTTAATCAAGATCATTTGCTGCATCTTGTCTGCAATGCTGATCTGTCCAGTTTTAAATACTCCAGTTCTGCAGGTTCGGCTACTTGCCACATGAGATTATTTTGCAGAGGATTATGGCTCTTTCTCG